AGTGTCATTCCTGTGCTGTGCATTGCAGAAGGGATAGCAAAGTGGAAAAACTGCTCACCAACTTGAACTTAAAGTGCAGACAGGCAGCGACTGCTGGTTGTATTAGAGCCCTGAGAGCAGCAGGTTGGGTGGTTTTGCATATAGAGCCACAAAAGAACACAGCAACTTTTATGTGGTAGAATCTGGTCTGCGTAAAAGGGTCAGTCATCCCAGGTGGGGGTGTCAACCAGGAGTCAAACTGAGCCCTTGTATCACAGACAGCTTCAGTTTCCCAGTGAAGCATCATTTGTAATGCTACCAGAATACAGTGGCAAACAAAGTACATGAAGGCTTGACAGTCACATTAGCGAAGAGCTACAGTGAAAGGAGTAAGGGGAAAAAAAATTCTCTGGCTATTTGCAGAGCAAGAAAAATGGAACTGGTTTTGGCAGATAAGACAATGCAGCTGTGTGTCAGAACAGCTTTGTCTGTTTTGTTGCTGCAGATGAAAAATGGTGCCTTCAAGTTTTAACCAGAGAAATTTAGATTTTAACGAGCCTCCATCTCTCAGAGTCTCCCAATTAGGAGAGCATATTTACAGCTAAACTCAAAATAATAAATTTCATTCAGTGGGTATGAATCAGGGAGATCTGCATCCTTCGGAATAGCTGCAATGTGGTTTTCATATTGCATAATGACAGAGGTGATTTTTTTCCAAGTCTGTAACATGAGTAGAAGCAACTGCTCTACAAATAATTTACAACTGATAAATTTCCCCTGGTTGCAAATTGTCCATGGGCAGGATAGTATTTTATTGGAATTCCTGTGGCAACACCCAGAATTGCTGGGCAGACATGTTACAGGAATAATGATCTTGCTGGTTTGCCTATAAAAATAGTAGTTGTCTGGACTGTTGTATTATTGATGAACCTTTTCTTCTACAAATGTTCAGAAAGATCTCCGGGCCAGGATTTCCCACTTAGTTGAAAGCCTTCTAAAACTGGGGAATATTTAAGATTTAAGTTGTCTTGGTGTTGCCTGATTGCACTGACAGCACTCAAGAATGCATGAAATCTGTTGTTCTGCTCATCTTCGTCAGTCTGTGACCTTACAGCAAGGTGGGAACTGGTAGCAGAAATCCACATCCCTGATTCAGAGGTCACTTGACAGTCCCTTACCCACACCTCGTGTAAGGACTTTGCCAAGGCTGGTCTCAGAGGCCAGTCTCTGCCAAGGGAGCCTGATCTCCCAGGCTCCCTCAATAGTCAGCAAAGAGAAATACACTCCCTCCCCTCTCCTACCTCTCAGCTCCTGATGAGTGGGGCAGCTCAGAGCAGGAGCCCACTTCAGGCACCTTCCAGGAATGATTCATCAATTCTAGGGAGACTACATTGGGATTTTGCTTTGAATTACTGGGAAGAGGAGCCTGCTCCCTCTCCTGATTACAAAGGCGCTTTCTAGTACGCAGCAAAGCCTTGCTGATGATCAGGTAAAAAATGAGTTTTGTAGATTGCTGTGTTACAGCTTCTAAGCCTGCATAGTTGCCTGCTTTTATCACTTGAAATAGATGTAAACCTTGTGCAAAGGGAGAAGGAGAAGGAGGGTTACGCTTTTTACTTATTGAGATTTTTCAGGGGTGTAGAGCATCGATGTCTGACCTGTGTACTCGGGCACTTTTTAAATTGATTCTAATATACCAACAACCACCACATCTTCATGTTAATCTTGTGATTCATACATGAATCCGGAACCACATTTCTCCAGAGAAGAAGCAGCATATTAGCTGTAACCACGTGGAACTATTGACAGATTGTGACTATAAAGGAGGGAAAAAAAGATGAAATAAAGATGAAATAACAGTACAAAGATTTCTATCTTCCTGCTATATACCTGTTTTATGCATTTCAAAGGGCTGGGAGCCATCCTTACCCGCACTGGAAGCCTGTTTTCACTTAGTGCAGGGCTGGTTGTGTAACCAGCCTGCAAAGGGTCCAGGTAACAAGCTCTGTCAGGAGCACAATTGGAAATGGTAATTGAAATTGAAAATGGTATCTCCCAGACTCCCTCCTCTTCCCTCTCAGCTCCTGCTTGGAGACCTGAAATACTTTGCTTGTTTGTGCTCTAACCTGAAGCAATCAAAACAAGGGAGTGAGAGGAGGCCTCTAGAATAAATTGGTTGTCAACGTGGTTCTGGTATTGATCGAGTTCTGCTGTTTATGTGAAATGGGCTCATTTGTGTGTGGCACTCGAGTTTACTGCACTGTGGGGAAGAAGCTTTTTGGATAATACCCTTTGCACATGCATGGCAGTATAGCGAGTGCTCCTGTCCCCCTCCCACAGTAACAGCAAGGGAAGAAATGAAGATTTATATTAACCAAGTTTGAAAGTCTTCCCAAAAATTGGATGATATAATGTGCAGGCCTCCTCCCAAGGTTTGCAGTGGTGCTTGGCTTTGTTAAGGTTTAAAATATCTTCTGCCTTGTGTGTCCCTGAACGTTGTTTCTCACAATCACTTTCTTGCTGACAGCATCCAACAATCAACATACACTATAAAAAAAAACCCACCCTGGTACGGCCATAATTCCCTCCTAGAAGGATGAGGAATCATCTATTCACACTTGGAAGGAGGTAGAAAAGCGGAACAGGCATTAGTGCTCTCTGACAATGTTTATGGCCCTAAACCTCTTGGAAAGTAATTTTGCACATTTGCTGCTGCTGTTACTCTTTCCAGCCTCTATCTAGGGCTGCTCACCTTGACAGGGAACCTTTAGCTTTTGGTACTGAGGGCCCTCAACACCTTCTGCTTTCATCTCTGCAAGGGCAGCCCTAATTAGCCCATGCGCATACATGTACCCATGCACGCGTATGCACAGAATGTCTTCTCTTTAATGAGTCTCTGTCTCCACCTAGCACCATGCCAGTAATCCTTCACACCTGTCAGCTGTGTGAGAGAGCTCTGAAATTGGAAGCGAGAAGCCTTTGGCAGCATGGTGAAGCCAGGCGTGCTGGCTAGTTAATGGGAGATCTTGGGATAGGGCATGGGAACTTCACGCAGGAATCTTCAGGAGCTGACAAGAAGAGAGTAACTAGGTATTGTTAGCTGTTAGAGAGAGCTCTTAGGGAGCCAAGACGTAATCTGCTTTATTTGGTTAATAGACAGTGGTTTAGAGGAGGCGAAGTCATATTCAGAGGCATCAGCTGCCAGTTGGAGTGCCTTCGTATTTAGCAGGGATCCCAAATCACTGCATCAGGCGTCTGAGTGTCTTGGTGGGCTGTGTCCATTCCAGACTGCACTTGTGTCGGACTCTTGATTTTACAAACCTTTACTTTTCACTGAGCTGCTTCCCCCAGCTAATCAGCACAACTTCATTGTATCTTCCTTGATTAGACAATGCTTTCATACTCACCCAATTTCGTATTGCTAGGAGAAGTCAGACAGAGATTTTGAGCATACCTTCTTGTACGTGACAAGTTCCTGTCATGTGCACACACTTCTGCGATGGGGTGACCTGGGTTTATCCTTTGCCTGAACCAAAAAGAGCTATGGACAAGCGCTGGGAAAGCTTGGGCCTGTTGGTGCGTATGAAACCTCAAGAGAAAACCGTGCTCGCTCTCTTGAATTCCCAGGAGAAGCATCAGGGATTTGACGCACCCACAAAGGAGCTATCTCGGGCATTCACTGACAGACAGGGTTCACAGTCACAGATGTTTGCAGGCATTTTGATAGTTTGTTTGGGGAGATGATTTTAAACCTGCGAGGAAGAGGTGGAGCTGGTGATAAGGTAATCCACTGAGGGATTTCTACAGGAGAAGTAAGATCTATCAAAATGATGGGTGACATCTCCATCACTGTAAAGTCATCCATCGCACTTGCCCCTACGCTTGCCAAGGTGGCTAACTGAGCTTTCTTGGATGGGTTCTTTGTGTGTTGTGTCCTTATTGTAACATTTGAATTCTTGATAGGTGCACTGAAAGTTGCCTGTGAGAATAACATTGCCAACAAAGGAAGCACAGAGGAAACCAGAGTCTCCATGACAGTGTATTGGTTTTCAGATGCAATTAGAAAGGAGGCTGTTTGAAAACCTCGATGGTAGATGTACGTTTATGGACAAAATAAGTGCACTTAAGAAACAACTCCGGACTTGACAGAAAGGGAAAGGTGTTTGTGGTACAGTGACCATTTCATCTCTATTGCTGAAGAGCTAAATTATTTCAGCTTAAGAGTAAACCATTTTTGCAATGTCTCAGTCCTTACTACACTTTGCTGCCTCATAATAACCACCCAAATGTCTGGATTGCTTAGCAACCAGTAGCCTGACACCCTGTAGTTCAAACGCAGGATAGGTGCAACAGGCTTTATAGCTGCCACAAAAGTAGGATAGTAGTGTGATGGAAATTAACTAAAAATTGCCTTCTCAGCACTCTAAATGGCAGAATATTAGGAGAAATGTGCACAAAACAGCAAAACCACAGAGTTTTTTTTTCCATTTCGGATATTGTTAGGAGATTGAATCTAAGCTTCCGGCCAAGCCTGTGGCAGAAGAGATAAAAATGTTGAGTTACTGAGATAAAATGTATTTTCCTAAATTCAAATTCTAGTTTGTGTCTGACTACCTGGAATATGTGAACTCTCACTGTATCTATTTTTTATTCTGCTAGCTAGAGAAAGTGTGATTAGGTCCCCATCATATATTGCGTTTTATGAGCATAAGGGGTTCTTCAGAAATGATGAGAAAAGAATGGCAGGGAGGCAGAAGCACAAACCATGATGTGGTTTTAACAGTCCTGGTTACCAAAGAGTGTAGATTGCTACAAATATTGTGGCAATTATTTTCAAACCATATTTCTCCCCCTATATTCTCTACCCTTTTCTCTAATGGCTGTTGCTATAGAGCAGTAGAATCTATAAAGGTAAGAGCCTCCCAGAAGAAAAAGAAAGAAACCGGCATATGCAGTCTGAGAATTAGACATTAACCGGTACTGTAAGTATTCATTTTTCTCCTTTGTTTTTTTTCTTACAGGGATGCAAGAGAAAGAGGAAACATCTGCAGAGCCTATGAAAGTTGACCCCGCGTGTGAAGCGGCAGACGTTTCAAATAAGGATGGTATGCTGTTTTAGAATTGTAATTGTCCTGAAGCAGATACATAGCATGCCTTTCTGGGGTTGGTTTGTACACTTCTTCCCTAAAATGAGTTACATTTATAATCTCTTCAGCTGAGTCTTCTTGAAGTTTACACAATCTCTACCGGCTTGGAGGTCTGTTGGAAGTACCTTTCAGTGCCATAGCCCTGATTTTCTAGTTGACTGTTTTTATATGTTCCATTGGTATCTTCAGTCTGCCTGCCTTTTAACTAAGAAATACTTTAGGCCCATTGTAATTCTGGTCTGGATATCAAACTGGCCAAGATGTGTGTGATTTCACACAGGAATCATAAGATACTGCTGAAGATTTCTGTGCTAGTGCCTGGCTCCACTGTGGGCAGCTGTTGGGTGTATAACTGTTCTGACCTTTTATGTTGGCCTCCTTCTAGCTCAGAGGTGATTTCCCTTCCTCCTCCTCCTTCAGAGTCCATGCATAGCCGAGTCTGGTAGCAGGTGGAAGTTCTCTCCCTAGGACATTTACTATTGATAAAGCTGTCACAATTTGGTTGATCCAGCAGCAGTTCAAGTCAGGTTTATGGACATTATCAACGCAGATCTCCTGATATGGAAATGAAATTGTTTTGACACTGACCTTGGTGAGCAGATGACCCTGCTGTCTGGCAAAGCCCTGGCAGAGGCTGAGTAACAGGATGTTGCTTGAGCTCTGCAGTGCATAACATATTCATAAAGAAAAATAATTGTCCTTCCAGGGTCTTCCTGTAGGTAAAGAAATAACAGATGGGATCCGCATTCTGGGGCTGAACTTTTGGTGAAACAGACCCTTTATCGCTCCTCTAGGTCAGGTCTTAGAGTTTAAAAGAGCTACGTATGGGGTTTTCTTGGGTTTTACACAAAGCATCCTCTTTAGTGCTCCAAGTGGCAGTGGGTTTGGAATTGGGGTTGCAGTCCTTCTTTTATTACTGTAGACTTTATAGCAAAGGCTGATTTTTAACTCCTCCTTTACCCTCTTCAGCACTGACATAAGAGAAATTCAAGGCATACTTTTTTTCTGCATTTCAAAGACAAAACAGTTATATTCTTTTTGCTATTGATTACACAAGGAACCTAATGTTGATTCCTTTCTCTGATGTCAGATCATGCTGCAGGGTTAGAATCAGTGGCTGATTTCAATACTGGCCTGTAGGGAAGTTTTTGCAAGCACAAGGAAAGAAAGCATGTATAATCGATTTCCTTTGCAAAAACATACTAGAGATAATGCTGTTACTAGTAACCGTGCAGAATAAAGCCAAACCAGCCTTATGTCCTCATCCTCTGAACAAACACACCAAAAAGTCATAGCCCCATTCAAATACTTCAGGTTTGAAGCCTTGGAAGGATCTGGGCTGCTTAGTGAAAACAAGTCCAAATTTACTAAAAAACCATCTAAAGGGATTTCCCACTGGAAAGATAGTGGTCATATATCCATTGTAACATGTGCCATAGCACAACACAGCTGGATCAGCCAACAGCTTCTGAAATGATGATCTTGATAGGTTTTTTTGTTTCCAGACTTGCTTATCCTATAAGGTCTTCTCTACATGTCATGCATCTTTTAACTTCCTTTTCTGTGATCTTTCCAAGTTATATGAAAGGGCAGGAAAAGGGTGTTTGCTATGGGTGCAGAAAGTGCTCTGCTGTTCAGGGAAGTCTTCATTTCACTACAGCTTAAATTGCTTTTGGGCTTATATTACAAGGTGATTTTTCTTGTGGACATATATTATCTATTTAAAAAAAATCAGAACAGAGGCAGGATCAAACTCCCCATGTTCTGTTTTACCTGAAGGGTTAAATTTTGCTGAAAAAAAGCCCTAACATTTTTGAATGTTCTGGGTACTAGCTGAGATTTATAAAAAAAAAAGAAGCAAGAAAAAGGTTCTCTTTGACAGTAATTTTTATGTAAATTGCCTATTTTTTCTCTGGTCCCCTTCTTTCCGCCCCAGGAGAACTCATCGCTTCACAGCTGAAAGCACAAGCATATATCACCAGGTACCTCTTGGCAGCCTGGCTCTTGTGTTTTAATTTCATGTACCATGTCACAGCGAAAAGCACTTTAGAGATGCAGAGGGTTTAGGCAGCTTGGGTGGATCTCAATCTTGGTTCATCTAGTGGGCAGGGCTGTAGTAGTGATACGTTTCAGAAATGACTATTATTTGAAAGCTGTGTGTGATTCTCCATTGGGAAAGCTGTCAGAGGGTGGGCCCATAGACATGAATAGAGGCAAGTATACAAAAATACAGGTTGCCTTGCAATCTCCATTGCCCACCAGAGTGAAAACCCCTAGGTATTAAACTTCTTATACCCAGGACAGATTAGCTGATTAGGGTTTTTTAATGAAGACGAACCCCACCTTTGGTGATTGGCTTTCTAGATGTTTTTCCCTGCCAGCTGTCTTTTTTATTCTTTTCTTTCCTTGATTCATGCCACCAAAGCTTTAAAGATTACTAAGGCAGATGTTACTTTCCAGCTGGTATTAGGCAGATCAAACTCTTCACTCCTTTCATAATGGGGTTACTCATTGTCCTTTATTACTTCAAGCTTGTGGAAAACTGCATCCTGACTTGCTAACACAATAGGAAGAAAGAAAAAAGGTGAAGGCAGCGTCAAACCTGAAATTTCCTATTTCTTTTTCTCATAAGTTTGTGCAAGCTGATGAATGCGCCATCAGCAGCCTGACCTTCATGTGATTCACCAAAGCTATATAAAAGCAGGATCTCAACAGCTAACACCGTTATGCTCGTTATGGTGTTGATGTAAAATCCAAGAAACAACTACCAAGTAAACAGGCGCACATGTTTCATCACCGAACAGCAGGTTGAATTCAAGATAGATGGTTTTCTTTCTAGGCAGTCTTGGGGTTACGGCTGAATGTGCTATAGCCAAGCTACGTGGATGCAAGGGGGAAACGTTGTTTAGCAAGTGGCTGAGTAAATATGAATGGCTGTTCATACTCAGCAAGTGGCTGAGTAAATATGTTTGCAAGTAAGAGTCTGACCAAGCTCCTATTTCAATCAAGACAGTAATATTTTGGTGTCATCTACCAGCCAGGTCTACAGCATAATATCCTGGGGTGAGGAAATGCGCTTGCTCTCTCATAGATGACTAAACTTGGTTTTGCAGTCTCCTCTTTGCCTGTCTTCTCTACTTAGATGACACGCTGTGACTCCTGGCTAGCTGACCTTTAAGCACGTAGCTTTCTTGCAGGGGAGAGGCGGGATGACTTGCTGCCGACGCACATCCACCGGCTCAGCAGCAACCGCAGCATGTTGATGGATGAGAACTATTTGCTGGGTTATTTCTTCTCCTCTGCGGGGAACCTGCTTGCTTTTGGGGGGACATCCTTCCCTGGCATAATTTAAGAGCTGCTAAGCAGATTATGCATTGAGAGAGGAGGTACAGATAGGTCCTCCCCAGCAGGTCAAAATTAAAGGGAAAACAGAGTGCAGAGGATTGTATGATTCCATTGCATGGTAATGTCCATTTCTGTCACAAAAAGCCCCATGTGAAGCTGCAGAAAGGGCAGCAGGTAAGACTGAATTTAGGAGATACACATCCTCCTTGAACTTCAGGTGCTTCACTGAGCTGCTGGCTGTTGTAGCATATTATGGTAGGTGCAAAAATACCACTAACGTAAGGCAGCAGTTTAACACCTCTAAAAGCATTGTTTAGTGGGGAGAAGGCCACTCTTGGCTCACGATGCTATCGGATGTAGCATGTTCAGGGCTAACAGCATCGTTCTGACACTAACCCGTGCTGGGAGGCCACAAGGGCTGAGTCACATCTCTGCCGTACGCGGTGGCAGCTCTTCCATCTGCTCTTGCGGTAGGTGCTTCGCTGCTGTGTTGTTTTACAGCTAAATATAGAGGATTGTGGAGGTGGCCTCACAGTGACATCTGTTGTTGGGGGTTCACCCAATGGTCTGCAGAAGCTTATCTTTCAGTTAGACCTTCCTGTCCCTACCAGCATTAAGGCAAAGAGCTGAACATAGTCACAAACACATAGGATAAAGCTGATAGTGAAACCTGCTGGTGCTTTAGCAATCATGAGCCACCTCCCTGCTGCAGTGTGCACACTTTAATGATGGTGATGCCTGGCTGCCATTTCCACCTTGAAATAGTGGGACTCAGTGATTGCTTTTGCACCACTGGGGCTCCCATGTGCTTTCACATTACCCTTGAAGCATGTCCCTCTATGTGACGTGCTACCAGCATGGCAGGGTCAACTGCTCTTAGCCATAAATAAGGAAGGAGAAGGAGGTGTACTCATCTGGGATGCTGACAGAGCCTAAGCACAGGTTTCAAACCAGGCTTCATTTTGCAGGAGCACTCTGTAAAACATGGGTGAAGCTTTATGGTATTTTCAGAAAACCCAACCACTGAAGCTGGCCAGCATACAGAGGCTGGGAGAGGCTCCTCTTGTCATTGTGCAGCAGCCTTCACTTAATGATTTTTTATTAAGCATCCTGTCTTTGCTATGCAAATGTGGGTAAAGAACACAACTTTGCTAAACACAATGTGCATCAGAGCACCATAATCAGGAGCAGATACATTTCTTATTATTCATTGCATACATCCAGGAAGCCATTACGGTGTCTGTTCTGCATATAGATAATGAATAATTTACAAATAATCCATCAAAACCCTACCAGGTGTATTGACATGATACTGACTCAGAAGGAAATCATACTGCCTACTTGGAAGTAGCATAGTTATTGACTTTTTGCCTTTTCTTCCCTCCATCTTCCCATAGTTTTCCAAATCTCCCATTGAGGTTTGAGGTTTTTCCCTGTCTCCCACATCAAATGACTTGTAATCTGCAGTTGATGCCACAACATAAAGCAAGGTTAAAGAAAGGGGGGGAAAAAAAAAAGTCTTAATATAAATGGCTTCATACAAATTCATTTCAGAACAAATACTAAATCTTAAAAATCTATGTGCTGAAGTAACCCTTTTATATTTAGCCTAGATGGGACCAATTACACCTCCCATAGTTTAAATGATATTTTTAGCAAAGGTCAGGCTGAAATGGGTTTAAGCTCCCTATTTAAATTATTTATTTTTAGTAATTTTAAATAAAATTTAAAAAGAAAAAGAAGATTGGTTTTGTAAATGGATAGTTACACGAGTGAAACTGGTATGTGTGGGAGAATAGTGATGTTGCCCCTGAATCCTCTCCCAGGCTCCAGCAATTTGCAGTTCAAGGATGCCTGGAGGCAGAGGCAGCATTTCTGTGACTGAAGATTGATCCGTGTTCAGCCTGCAGCTCAGCCCTGGGTCCTGCTGGGGATTTTGGCTGAAGCCTGTGGATGTTCCAATCAGAGGGTTGAGACCACTTAGCCCAGAGGTCTGAATGACCCTCTGGAGGTACCTGTATCTTTGCCTGTGGCCTACAGAGGCAGAGGAGGGTCTTTGAGCTCTTGAGCTGGACACGTCAGTTGGGTGCCAAATTCAAACTGGGTGATGCAGACTCAAGGGAAAATCTAGATCCAGAGGCTGGCATTTCTAGCAATGCCGAAGCCTATACCCTGGCAGCACTGCTCATCAGGCTTTCCATGGAACCACATGTTAGGAGGACTGGCCCAAGAGACCTTTTGTGGATTTATAGCGTAGAATTTTTAATGCAATAAATGTCTCCTTTGGGTTAGAAGCACTTATTACTCAATATGATAAACTTAAGTATCATGAATTCAATTTGATGACTGTCTCATTTTGTTTTCAGATGAAATGAATAGTCAAGTTGAAAGTATAAATGATCCTAAGGAAACAGAGAGGGAAGCTTAAGTAACAGGTAAGACCTTTATGGCTATTACACACACCCACACCATTTTCCATTCAGTTTCTGTTTGAAAACATGCTTTAAAAATGACTGTAATTTTTTTAGATAGAATTTACCAAAAGAAAAAGAGGAAGACAGAATTCAAAGGAAAAGAAAAAATTGTCTATTACAGCCCATATTACACCAAAAAAATGAAAGCACCCAGTAGACTTGATTTGTCAAGTGAATATTATAGTAGCAGTCTGCAACTGTAATAGATTTAGACAGTACACAGTCTTAGATCATGGGAAGGCAAGACAGCACCAAGAAAAGGAACAGAAGAGTAACCGAATGAACAAATTTTGGCATTGCTTAGGAAAATGACAGGCAATTTATAGTGGTTGGAACCAAGCTCAGTTCTGTACGATCTGTATTCTGGGAATAACAGTTCACGTCACAAGGGGTTTATTGCCTTTGGCTCTCCAATGCCTTAACGTCACATGTAGCAATAGCACTGAAAAACAAGGCAAAGTCAGCGAGATGCCTTCTGGAGTTCTGCTGCCTCTTGGAGCTTTTTATGGCTTTATGTGCTAAATGGTAGCACTATGGCAGGAGCATGCAATGGTGATTATTGCAGCAGAGTTTGTCATAGACATAAACAGCCGCATCCCTAGAAAAAAAACAGAGAATTTGGTAGGGAGACAGAAGTCTGAAGCTCATCCCCAATTACAACAAGAAACAGTTGTCATTTCTCTTTCGAAAGTAGTTTCTAAGCATTAATGCACAGCGCTTCCTTTGGTGTAGTGTTGTCGTGAGATGCCAGTATCACATACAGCAAAATGTGTTATTTATTCTTATAATGGAATTTTGTGTAGCTCAAGACCAAATCTAGAAGCTTTACAGTGGCAGCAGCTGTATCACAGAGATTTAAAATACAAGGTCTTATTACTGAGCCTAGCCCTTTGTCCTTGTCAGCACATAGGGGATGTGCTGCTGTACTGCTGGCGTGAGAAATAGGCCTGATGGGGTCCCTGGTAAAAAGTACTGAAGCAAAACTAGAAAAAGCCCTTACCATTAAAACACAGCTTCCACAAATCTTCCTTTTCCCCTAGCTTCTGGTTGGATGTTCTGTTCAATCAAAAAAGGAAGAGGAATTAATGGGATCTCTGTTAAAAATACATGGAAAGGTTAATACCCTTCTGCAATTTAAAAGAATTATCTGATGATTTTTACTCCTTTCACTTGGCCTTTAGGTCTGTTTCATGCTGCATTTTCCCATGGAAATGAAGATCTGTGACTGCTTTGAGCTGGAGTAATTTTTGCTTTACGAAGGCAGAGTTCACAGGAGTAATATCACAATTAGCAATCAATTAATAAATCTCTTCAATTCCACTTGAAGACCTGGCTCTGCTGGCACCTTTGTAAAGCAAAGAGGCTCAAGCTGGGGCACACTCTCTCTTCCTCAGCATTTTAGTGGCATGTGTAGGATTAGAAGCAGGCATCAAATCCTTTGCAGCTCTCTATTGAAGTCCTCCTGACACTGAAGCCTCTGTTTTAATTGCAAGGAACAGGTCCCGAGGGAGGATTGATCAGCCTGTTAAATTTCATAGGGTCTCATTAGGGTCTTTCAGAGCCAAGGAGGTCCCTTTGCTGGGTCTGTTTAGTATTTTAATGTGTTTGGTTTAACATATGTGATCTATCACCAAAGCACCCACCAGAGCTGGGGGTCTCTGGTATCAGGCTAGATAGCATGGTGCAAGAAATCTTTATGATCACAATTTGCTATAGAGATAATAGTGACTGTTATATATAAACAGTGTGACATATATACGTGCTCCGTGTGACAGAAAAAGAAGCCACAGGTACATACTAGAAAGATGAGGCATGGGTTCATGTGCAGATATTTGAAATTGTGCCTTTTGTTTCCTTTTTGTTTCCTATGTTTTCTCTCCCCCACTGTGCCAAAGGAAGGATGCAGGAGAGGAGAGACCCGAGGAAACCAGACGGGCAGGCGCTGACATCCTATGGCATCATTCTTGGCAGAAAAGAGCACGCAGAGATGCTCCACGGGTTGGGAGGGAGGGAGCTTTGGGGGAATGACTCTTTGCTTTAATTTCTCTTTGTTCTTCATTGCATTTCGTTCTGTAAGCCTGTTAGAAAGAAACATGAGTTCCGAGTTCTAACAATGTTTTGCAATTATCCCTGCAATTACAACAGTTTCTTCTGAACTGTGGTCCCTGTCTTATATTGGGTCTCTTTTCCTCCTGCGTTGTATCATGAGTAGCCTGTTTCCAGGCCCACCCCTTTTCTAGCATCTTTATCTTGTTTCCCAGTTGCAGTACTGTCTGCAGGCAACCTCTAGGAGCCAGATTTCTCCTTCCCCTGCTTCCATTTTTTTAACTCTTCCCTAGGATATAAATGGAAATCTTCTTTGAGAACATGAGCTGCCACAAAGGATTATAATCTGCACACACTGATAAACAACCGCCCTCCTTGTGCTAGAGATTTGAAACACTAGATGCTCCAGAATCTCAGAGATATTGATACAGACAGCCCTGCACGTTGCCCACCTCCAGGCTTGTCGATGGGCAGCTCCTGCCGGCACCACACAGCAGGTCACCATGTCCAAACCCTCGCTGCTAGAAGAGGCCGGATTCCCTTGAGTCTGTGCTAGAAGCAGAGTTTGCACATTAACTCAATCATCCCAATGCCTCAGGATCGCCTGAGGCTCTGTCCTTTCCCTTTCCCTTTGGAATGAGAAAGCTAAACTATGACCAGCCTGCACTGTGCCATCTCCTTCTGTGGGTCCTACACATGAATAACTCACTGGGCCTTGAGCAAATCGTTCCTGCTCTTTCCCAGAAAATCAGTGCTGAAAGTATGAGCTGTAGGTATGGGTAGGCAACAGATACTTCCTCGATCCTGCAAGTGACAGAGGATAACAGGCACTCTGCATTCAAGGCATCTTTAAATACAGCTCCCGGCTTTAACAACTTCACACCGTATCTTGTGTGAGCCCTCATTATATCTTCTACTGCATATGCATGATCTCTTCCCTTTTTTTTAATTTTTACAAAAAAGCAATTAGCAGCTATTTTGTCTCACCATATGTCAATTGTTCTGCCAGCAAATGCTGCGCTGAGATTTTTAGAAAAGGAACAAAAGGGTTTCACATACATTTCCCAACCGTGCTGTAACCAGAACCGATAGACAGTACACTCTGGGGAAGAGCACACAACCCGTGTCCAGGTTGTTTTAAAATGTGGCTGATAATTTGATCATTACATAAGAAATTTAATTGATATGTTCTTTTTTTTTCCCCAAATATGCATGAATCCCAAAATAGTTGTTTACTACCTGCCCAAAACAAAAAAAGAGGGGAGGGAAGTAAAAACCAAGGTAATATGTAGCTCTATCCTCCTGTGATGTGGGTTTATCCCAGCTAGATTTGGTGATAAATCATCTTCTGGTGTAACAGCAAGTCAAATGTGGCCATAATGCACCTAGCACTGGCTACAACAGTTGATGGCTCCCATCAGCAGCAGGTTAGTTAGAAAGGGTGTCATGACAAACAAGGATTAGAAAGGGAAGCAAGAAAAGCCCCAGATTTCACTTGGAGAGTACAGCCCCTGAAAAGGCAGCCCCCTGCTTCCTTATGTGTAGTTCCACCACGTTTGCTTGTGGTGGGATCAGAAGAGTATTTCTATGTGCCAGCTCCTGTGGTATTTTAACCCAGGTGGCACTTGTGCTACAGAAGATCTTGAGGAACCTCATCATCACATATTTGTCCTGGAGATGAATGAATGTATAACTCTGAATTAGATTGACTGTGGAAGGAGTAAAAGAGCTGGTATAAAATCCTATAAATTGGGTTTATGATACTGTTAAATTTACCTAAATTTGCTAAATACCACTCCTCTGGCCCTTGTCCTCCTCAGTGGGAGACCTTGCATGTAGTACATCTGCATGGGTGCATCCTGTATGTTCCTGTATATTTTCCACAGTGGTTAACTTTGATTGAAACAGCTTGTCCTAATGTGTGGGGCAGGAGGGGATAAATAACCTCGGGAGGAAGGGGAGTAAATGCACTGGGCATCTGTCCTCTCAATTCCCATTTTGTGCTATGGGAAGACCAGGACTGCAGGGCTCCCTCTATGTAGGTAAGTGAGGGAATTAAGCCTGCAGGGTGGGAAATGAACTGGGCAAGCTCAACTTTGAGCTGTGTGATATGTTGAGGAGATCCAAGGTGGGTAGATCATCAGGTGCATCACATCAGACACTAATCCCTGACAGTAATTTCATTACACTTTTCATTTCATCTTGGTCTTCAAACAGCAGTGAGTCTTTGAAACCATGAACCAAGGATGGAGCATCAAAGCATGAAGCCCAGGTAGGAAGTGTAAAGCAAGCAAACGTAGGAGTTGATAAAGTCTATACAGGACAATTTGCAGCTGTGTCTGTAGGTATTTTTCTTCAGGTGTGTTTTGCTTTGAGGTGTGGGGGGTTTTCACTAGTCATAAAGTGAGTATAGTTTGGCAGCATGAATTCTTCAGCTGAGTTAGTAGTTGGGGCTGGAGCTGTGCCCCTCGATGCAGTCTCCACCATTCTTGCTGGAGCTGCAGAGATGCAGGGAGATGATTCTATGGAAGAGCAAGATTCATATCAAATCACCCCACAGGGACTGATACCAAGGATTTTGTTTTAAACCCAAGATGTGTTTGCAGTAGGTGGCGTAAAGGAGCTAGCAACCCTTTGGTGCTGATGTTTGCATACAGAGTATCAGGCTCTGCTTGATGGTTGTTTCTCCTATGTCTGGAAGCACTCATCCCTACCATTAGGCACAATATTCCTCAGGCTGTGACTGCTGCAATGAGGAATGGGTTTCCTTCCACACAGACATCCAAAGGGGATGTTTGAGAGAGTCTGTAATAACAGGTCACACGTTTGCTGCAACTAATTGTCAATCTTCCTCTAGAGCACTGAGAAAGCTTCTCTGTGAATTAACACTGTTCTGCTTAAGGCACTTGAATAAAAATATAATTAAAACAACAACAACCACAAAGACTTTTCTCTATATGCTGTGCATGCCGGCTTTGCTTTTGGAATTACAAACTTAACAGAGTATGCAGATCTATTTTCTTGGGGAATAAGGGGGTTTTTTCATATGGTTCATCCAGGATTTGCCTTACCCTGACATTTGTGATATAAAGGAACATTTTAAGAAAATAATAATTAAAGTAATTTTATTGATCCAAAAATATGTTTTTACTTCAATGCAAAGAAGTGTACTGTTGCTTGCAAAATGTCTTCTAATAGATGGTCTAGCACATCTGTCAATTAACACATGCGTCTTCTGTTACTCTCCCACTCACATGCTCAGTTTGCCTCCAAGTCTTGTTTTTCCTTTGTCTGTGCCATGTATTGGAGAACTTAAAGAACTGATGCCTTCGTACTATGATGTTTGTTAAAGTGAAACATTAATAAAGCTTGTCCTGAAGCCAAGGAGATGCCACTCGTGTGTTTATTCCCTCCGCACTGATTGTGTAGGGGTTGTTTTGGTTGTCACTGAGGCATATTTCAGCTTGGACATGGGATCACCAGAGCAACCGACTGGGTCCTCACTTCGTATTGTTCACTTGATGGTGGAATCTGAACTGACTCTTCGGAGGGATTTTTGGACAGCAGCAGCAAAGGGTGAGAACAGGGACTTTGCACCCTGGAGGACAAAAAAGGAGTTGGTCCCATGGCTGCACCAGAGATGTTACAAAACCCACTCCAGCAGCTCTACCAGTACTGAATCCCAGGCATCTATCATCTGGCAAAGAATACTCCCAAATATGCAATCCACAGGTATCACAGAGAACATGCAGTGTACACAGGATGTTATCTGCTTTTTGTGCTGTCACTTGTTTCAAGACTGAATCAATAGAAGATATTGCAAAGGTCAGGAAGGTGGCTTTTTTCCTTCCCATGGCACCAGTGTAGATGAAAACACACATACGGACCATCACTCTTCTTACCCAAGGCCAAGGATTTAATCATTGATAACCAAAGTTAGGGGGGTGGCTCTGTGTGTTCAAAGCCCTGCAACGGATGGATTCCCTCTCTGAAATTTGACCTTTCCTTGCCTGAAACCTTTTGACTGCCAGATGGAAAAGGAGAAGGCACAGGAGACACGTGGCAGTGGGGAATGCCTGCCTTTTTGCTTGATACAGGACCCAACTGTCATGTACAGTCTTAGTAGCATAAGCTAACCTGAGAGAGAGAAATGCCAGCAGTAGCTGTAACACAGCATTTTGCTGGATTCAGTTCAAGAACTGTATCTGAAGAACTGCACAGCCTAGAAGGAGGCACACACTTTCCCCATCCTGAAGCCTGTTTCTGCTGCAAATGGAATGTTTTTGTCTGTGCCACATGTATATGTTTAAAAGGAGAAAAATAAATTCATCTCTCCTCTAGGAACAAGTACTATCTCTCCCACCCTTTTTGAATAGCACAGGGTCAAGAGGAAAACCTCTGTTGTTTCGAAGATGAAGAAGGGCACATTTGAGGCTACTCAGCCTTGCAGCAGTGGGTGTTTGTCCAGATGTCATGGATTAGGCAAGGAGCAGGTGAGACTGCTAGGATGAGATGAGCAATAAACTATCCTTGGTTATACTGTGGCTGCTGCTGGCCAGATCGGGACTTCCCCTTCCACATCTTGTTTGGGAAGGTTTTAGATTGTGGCTAGGGAAGTCTTGTGCTGAGCTGATAACATCAGAGGTCACTGAAAGTCTGGAGGCCCGGTTACCACGTTTCCTGCTCAGCCTTCTTAGAGATTCTCCAAGAGGAATCGAGTTGCCTTTCAGGATTTCCTTGTGAACCTACCACTCCTCAGAGAGCTCTGTGTATGCCTTAAATTGGCTTTCATTCTTCACCCCCCCCAGCCTCCCTCTCCTCTTGCACAGAAGCTTCCAAAGGGGTCTTTATGACCTCGATCTATCTCTTAAGGTGAAAACTGTGTTTTGGGATTTTAATTAGGTTTTGAATTGGTCTTTTTTTCTTCTTTTTTTCTTTTTTTTTTTTTTTTAATAAAAGTGTCAGGAGACATTTAAATACCCTAATTTCTCCTTCCATTAGAATTGTCGGCAACCCTTTAAAGTAAGTGGCAAATCACTGTTAATTCCTTCGGAATTCACTGATAAAACATTTATAGTAATGAATTCCTGTAGAAAAAAAAAAAAGGGGGGGGGGGGGGATATTCCTGATAAAAACGCAGCCGGTGGAGGATGTCCTTGGGGAGGCTGCTCCATCTGGTGGCAGCTCAGGCAGCCTGTCGCTTGGGGGGCACTCCTGCTTGCATAAGTCAGGTGAGGTTTCTTTCTTGTTTAAACCTATTGGGCATCACCCTCTCCTCGGTAGAAGGGCATACGTATGTGCACGTGGTGGATATTGGAACGCAGGGTTTGCATCTGCCACAGAGTATTTTCACATTCCCATTGCTCCTGGTGCAAAAGACACTCATTGCCCAAAGCCAGCTCTGAACCCAGCTCACCAAGCATGCAGGAGGTCTGCAACCCAGTGGTGGCATTGGAGCTCTGGGCTGAAATAAGCCTTGTCTCAAGGAGTTCAGCAAGCTCTTGAAGGGAGCAGTGCTAGAGGAGCTTCACAGGACTCCTGTGATGCCAGGTAAGCGTGCTCACATGAGCACGGGGATGTTGCAAGATTGCAGGTAAAGTGGCGCCTGGTCAACCTAAACTGCATTATAGTACAGGTTGTGTAGTCCACTCTATCTCAATGTGCCTGGACACATCTCACCTAGAAATGATATCACTGAGGAAACAGGATTACGATCAAGTTTGGTTTCCAACAGAAAGAAATGATGGTGTTAACCAGCAAACTGTAGACAATGACCTCCTCCACCCCTCAGTAATGGTGTGCAGTCAATGCGAGTGCTCAAGGAAAAGGGCAAGGAAGTCAAGCACCTTGCAAGAACTACCTTGCTGTCCCAAAATAGCACAGTGCAGGGGAGAACAGAACAAGCTTGTAGTAACATCATTCAGCAGAAGCCGGGGAAGCAGTGCCGCCACCAGTGCTGGGTTTTGCACAGCCCAAGGAGCCGGGTGGATCTGTGCTGCATAGTTCCAACTCCTACTCATTTCACACCAGCTACTGAGCACCTGCTCACTAGAAGCATCCTTATGGAAGAGAAACATAAGCCTAAACTTGATTTTTAGTTTTATTTTCCTTTTTATCCCCCATTCTCTACCAAGCCAGGAAATCAATTTTGGAATAGAAGAGTGAGCAGCAAACAGTGGAGCACAGAGAGATCAAATCATGAGACAGCTGAAACGAGCAGCAAACAGGTGAGCCCACGAACCCAGAGGCATCCTGAATTTGAAACTCTCTTCCCTGCCCTGCAAGTCACATCACCACCACACCGGGGGGGTAAAGAGGGGGTTATATTTGCAGAGGAAAGGGAAATGGAAGAGGCATATAGTGTGTACATAAAAGACAATCTAACATACATAATTTAGCTCATACTCTAATACAAAATACTAGACGTAGAATATATAGTATGCAGTGTATGTAGTATAATTGCAGGGAATGAGATAGAAAAGAAAGGAATGGCAGGGGATTACAAGGAAAGGCAGGAAATGGTGGAGAATGGTGGGGAATGCTTGTGAATTGCCTGGATATACACTACATAATACATGATGTGGTATATGTGCTGTATCTACTATCTGTCAGAAATGTATAGTCAATGTATTTTAGATGGTATAGTTTAAATAATTATATACTTGACATACCCTATCTAATTCAGTTACCTAACCTTTGTACTCTATAGAAAACTTGGTTTAGATCAAATTTGGTTCTACACACCCTGAAGGCTGTAGCATAGAGTAAATATATAGTATCCTGTATGTAAATACATGTAACCTATACCCTACAGGTACCATCTAGTATGGAGTTAATATGAATCAGCAATCTACTACAAATGCTATGTTCTAGACCACATATTATAGATAACATAGATACCATGTATTGTTTAACAGTCAGTGTATGATATAATAGTGGCATTTTATGTAGTATGTATGTAACTGGTGCTATGTCTGTACAGAACAGTCTATGTTATGTAGCATATTATCTCTTTTCTATAGTATTCTGAGATGTGTACTATTCCTATATATTTTACTGGTTTCATTCAATGCAGTAATTATATCATCATACTACATATGATAGATATTATATATACTGCACATATGTAGTCTGTGGTAAATGCATACAGCCTGTACTGGATGCATAAACATGGTATATATGTGTAGTAGGTAAGTCTATTGAAATTGATAGCTGAGAGCGTACACAAGATACAGGCTAGCTGTAATTCTTGATGTATGTATATAGACACTCCATACATACACTCTACACCATATACATATGTACATAAGGTGTATGTATACAGGATTCTGTGTGTGTACCTACTATGGAGATACATACTGTGTACATATATGTGTACCTGTCCCAAGAGGTCAGCGACTGTCTGTGCATCCTGATATCTGGCTGACATTGAGGGGTGGAAGAGAGACCCTCAGGCTTGGGTAATGAGGGGGGAGTAATGGTGGGGAATGAAAAGAGAGGAATGCGGGGAATCACAGGGAATGGTGCAGAGTTGTACAGAATGGCAGGGAATGATGGGGAATGGTGCAGAGTTCCAGGGAATGGCAGAGAATGGTTGGGATTGGCAGGAAATTTCAGGGCATGGATGAGAGGAGAATAGCAGGGAATGACAGGGAATGGCACACTACAGTGGGGAATTGAACAGAATGGTGAGGAATTGCAGGGAACGAGATGGAAAAAAAGGAATGGCAAGGGATTACAAGGAAAGGCAGGAAATGGTGAAGAATGGCGGGGAATGTTTGTGAATTGGGTGGAATTGTGGGGAATGCCAGGAAATAGCTCAGAACAGTGGGAAATATAAGGGATTGGCAGGGAATAGGACAGAATTCAGAAGATGGCAGGAGACAGTGGTGGGGAGGGTAAGATTCCCCCTCTTCCCTCTTCATCCTCCTTAAGTACTCTGATTTTACAGTCTTCAAAATCTAAACATTAAGCCCAGATTTCATTGTATGATTTTACAGTTCATTACTACACTTGTGAGTATCATTGACAGCAGCTTAGGACTGAATTACATCCATAGCCATAGGTTCCTTATGGCAGAGGTCATAACCACAATGGGTGGATCTTGCTGTTTCTCTTG